CAGCTGTAACTACAGTTCCAGAGGATCTGACACCCTTTTCTGGCCTCCTGAGGGAACCAGGCACACTGATGGTGCGTAAAATGCATGCAGGCAAGATAACCATTCATATAAATTTTTTTAATTAAAAAATCTTAACTGAATTTAGTGATGTTATTTACAATACTCTAAGACCAGACCCATTCTTATCCATAGAAAATATCACCTGATGGACCTGTACTCATAACCAAATAGTTTACTATCATAACTTTGAACATAAATATATATTGAGTTGGAAATCAGATCCTTATTTTACCAAGCTAATCGTGGGGTCACATCTTTGTTTCTGATGAATATTCAAACCTGACTAGGCTTAAATGAGCTGATTAAAACAGGCACACAAAGAGATGTCTAAATTACCAATGCAAGTTTTTAAAGTGATTTTTTATGTTGCTTCATGAGGTGGCTTTTTAGTTTTGGCTTTGATAGTTATGGCTTAATTACAAATTTACTAAAGTGCTGTAGCTCAGAAAAGCTCCTCTTTATTAGTATGTTATACTCTATACTCCTTTGCACCAATAAGAGAAATAGGCCATGCTAATCTGCAGCATAGAAATACTTTCATATCCTGCTATTATATAAAATAGTGACATATAAACAATTCCACATGAGATTTTGAAAACAAACATATATATACTCACCCTTTGAGTCAGCAGTGTCTAGGATCAGTTATTTCAGCCCCGGTGAAAAGACACAGGATACAGGAATACAAGCTGGTTGATGCAATTTCTACACTGTAAGTGGCTGGCTATTCTAGATGTCACTGAAAGATAAACTTGTCTCCATACCTACAAAATATTTTTAAAAACTTTTCATACTAGACTCAACATCTCAATTTCGCTTGTAACTGTCCAATAGAAAGTAGAGTGTATGGTAAGACTGTAATTTTTTTTGTTTGGAAAAGCAGTAGCTTAATATATTTTGGTGAAGAGCTGTTAAGAATCTGTAGTTTAATATAGCACAAAAGAATATAGACAGGTTCTTAAAAATGCCTATTGTATAAATTTTATCCTCACAGTCACTCTATGAAGTATTTGGTCTCACTTTATGGATGAAGAAACTGTTTCAGGACACAAAAGTTACAGCTACAAACTATTAGTCTATGTTTAAAATGTACAAAGCTGAAATTCATGCTCAGGCCCCTTTGACTTACGAATTAGGGTTGGTTTTTTTTTGTTGTTGTTGTTGTTTTCAAGAGAAAAGAAATCTTTGTTTTCAAATAAAACTCTCCTAAAATTACCATGTTCTAAAATAAGGAAATTCGTGCATATTGCTTAAATATAAAATGGAACTTTCAATACTTATTTTAGGGGCTGGAAAGATGTGAGTAGAGTGTTTGCTGGGCAAATGTGAGGATAAGAGTCTGAATCCCCAGAGCCCAAGGAAAGCTGGGTGTGGCCATGCACAACTGTAATCCCAGTGCTTCTGTAATGAGACCGGAGGCAGAGGCAGGGGATTTCCCTAAAGCTCATGGGCCAGCCAGCCTGGCTGTGCATTAGCAAACAAAAAGACCCTGTCTCAAGCAAGGTGAAAGGTGAGGACTGACACCCGAGGTTGTCCTGACCTCCACACCCACCACGGCATGTGCATAATCAGTACTCATACACAGGACCAATCACAGGGAAAAATGCATCAGGTTTTAATCAAACTCATTTTAAATCTCATATTAAAATGAGAAGGCAATCTTTCCTGTGATAGAGTCATAGATGTAACAGATCCTGAAAATACGTAATCTAGGAAAAAAGCTTTTTTTTAAAAAAGAAACTTTAAAAATACAACTATGTCCTCAGAATTTAGAAATAGCTCAGTAATTTTGCTGAAGCATCCACTTTGGCGTACCTCTGTGGGAGTATTGGTTCTCTATAGGACTCGCTCAGTAGGTGTCAAGGGTCACTGTTGGGTATCTGGCTTCAAGACAAGAAGTTTCTGCATATTCTCCAATTGAACCATCAACCAAATGACTCAGGTTTGAAATGCACAGTGACCACCTTCTCTACGTATGCCTGCGTGTGCATGCAGGTGTACATTGACATGGTGGGTGGGGATGGGAATGGAAGCCAGAGGTCAGCTTTGGGTGTTCCTCTACCCAAATGGTCAGGTGCCATCTACCTTGTTTGTGTTTTGAGACAGGCTCTCTCATACTTGTCCAGTAGGGTAGACTAGCTTGCCAGTAAACCTCAGAGATCTGCCTCTGCCTCCATAGTCCTGGGATTACAAGCATTATCTACCTGTGTTCTGGAAAACCAACTCGGGTTCTCATGCTTGCAAAACAAGCATTTTATCCACTGAGCCATTTCAGCTATCTCCCTACACGCTCAGAGCCACCTTTTCAAATTTGTGTAATTATAATCTTTGTTTTGTTTTTGACACAGAGACTTGCCTTGCAACCCAAACTAGCCTTCAACTTGTGACCCTCCTACCTTAGTCTCAAGAGTGCTAGGATTAAAGGCATGTTCTACTAAAGTGTTAGCTTTAAAAAAAAATATTATTTGTGTGTAGCTGTTTGTGTCTGTGTAGGGATGTGTACGTGAGTACAGGTGCCCAAAGAGTCCAGAAGGTTTTGAATTCCCTGGAGGTAGACCCCCCCACACCTCAACCCACAAGACAGGATCTCGCTATATAACTCTAGCTGTCTTAGAATTCACTATGCAGATCAGGCCTTGAACTCAGAGAGATCTACCTGCCTCTGCATGTGCCACTGTGCTCAGCTTCCCTAGAGGTAGATTTATAGGCAGTTGTGAAACACTGGGAACCAAATTTAGGTTCTCTGGAAGAGCAGCAAGTGCTTTTAACCCAGGCCACTTCTCTAGCCCTAGTTACAAGTTTCCATAGGGGATGTGAGAACGGCAGATGCTGAATGACTCCCAATGATCCCCGAGTGCACATCTGTGCAGCAATCAATGGAATGTAGAAGGATAGTGCTCCCGGCAGGGAAGAGACAATAGACCAAGAGGAAACCTCCCTTACTTACACTCACCTCCCATCTCCTCCAGTTCTTTAAGATGGGACTACCTTTATGTTTGTAGGTCACCCATGCATTGATTAAAAAGAGCAGTGGAAGTTCAGAATTGAAGGAGACATTGGAGACTCAAAGAAAAGTAACAACATGGCCTTCACTTTAAGTTCAAGGGGACTCAGAACATGGGATGGATTTGTGTGAATTGTAGTTCTCAGAAAAACTTCTTACAATCGTCCATATTGCAATAAACCAAAAATTCTTTACAACCACATATTCATTTTTTGATAAATGAGTACATTACCACAAGAAAGAATTTCCAATTCCAGAAAAAATATTGAAATTGGGCAAAGCTGCAAAGTACTAAAGGGAAAATTATTAGAACCATATGACCTGACCATATGTTTCTGCAGGCATTTGTAACCAAAGTAAACATTGAAATTTGTCGTGAATGGGTCACTTTTGAGAGGAAGGCAGCAGGGAAAATTTCATGTTTTAGCTGAGTCTTTCATATAAAGTGTCGGATGGTAGATATTATCGTAGAACTTGTTATGTTCTTTTTAAACAGGCAGAAAGTTTAAATGGATTCACTGAGTTTTGAAAACCTGGGCATAATAGCTACTAGAAATGCACGGAATGTAGTATTGCATTTCAGGGTACACACAGGGTCTGGGGTAAATCACAACGCATCTCTTAATCACTTCTAGCCAACGTTAGGAACAGGTATTAGAAGGATAGAAGGAACAGGACGAGCATTCTAGAAAACAGTTGGGAAATTTCAAAAGGGAAACAGGCAATGTGAGAAATCCACACAAAGAGGATGAGGTCACTTGTATATAATCACGGGCCATTGTTTTTTCAGAACAGCTGCTAGAATTCCCTCCATTTTCTCTGAACTGTCTCCATGAGTTACTGCTCATCTTTCACCCAGGTTGAGTCTGCTAACTCAGGAGGGGAGCTGCATGCCTTTGGAGCGTTTATTTGCGGTCATCATCAGAAACAGATGGACAGACACTTGTCTGTCCCAACATGATGTAGGTATTTGTACATTTCTTTGTTTTGTATAAACTGAGTTTGAGATTCTGTCTTGATTTTTAATTTGAGATTATTAAGACAATGAAACTTTTTAAAAAAAGATTTATTTTTACACGTGTAGGTGTTTTGTCTGCACTATGACTGTGTACCACGTGTATGCCTGGTACCCACAGAGGCCAGAAGAGGGTGCTGGATCCCTTGGAACTGGAGTTATAGATGGTTGTCAGCTGCCATGTGAGTGCTGGGAATCGAACACAGGTTCTCTGTAAGAGTGCTTAAAACCCAGCTCTCCAGCCCAGTGGAAATTATTTTTAAAAATAATGTCAATACTGCTCTTCAGTTTAGAATTCCCACTAAAGTGATTTGGTGACTTATTCACTTAAAGACTTTAGAAAACCCTAAGCAATTTAGCCATTAATTACCTTCACTCTGCAGGAAAGGCCGAGAAGCCAACGCCATTTTTAAGGGTTTGAGCAGCACCACTGCAGATAACACACATTTTCTTCTGCTCTGTCCTGACTCATTTAAGCGCTGACAAAGGGATTTTGTTAAATATAGGTTAGCATTCAGGAACACTTTGAATTTCCATCAGCCCCAAATCACAGACAAACCTTTAAACATATTTCTGAAACTAAGGTTAAATAAAATTTAGAGTGAGTGTATCACAGAAACAACCATGTTTTCTTTACAAGTAGTGCTGATTGCACGCAGGTTTCTTGTTGTGAGACAGGCTGGCCTTGAACTCCAGGGTTCAAGTGGTTTTTCTGCCTCAGGCTCCTGAGCAGTTAGCAATGTAAGCAGGCCCCTTTCTTCCTCACAGCAATCTGTTAAGGTGTGTTTGTACATGTGTGTTAATCAATCAGAAGAAAACTACAGTTGTGACAGTAAAACAAGCAAATTATCATTAAAATTTATTAGTAACAACATGCGATGCTTGTCACAATAAATTATGGCTATATGCCATCACAAAGAATGCGGCTGAATGTCTTCATTAGTAGTATATCAACTCATTCACTTTTTGGTTATCTGCAACTGTGCTTTAGCCTAAAAGCGGCTTGAGAAAGTCAGCATGAGGTAAACTACATTAAAAACAATGTGGTGTGTTGCTACGGCTATAACTGTGGGCTGAGCATCAAGTCTCTCTGGACCTTGGTTACCTCAAATTTACTATAATGAAGTATCACCTGCGTTACTGACTCTGGCAGGATGCTGCAATAACCAAACAAGCCAATGCTGTACAGCTCGGTGTAGCAGCATCTCCGTAGGGAAGGGTTTTAGATCTGCTATTCTCCTGCTTTGTCCCCATCAGGGAAGTTAACAACGCCATGCAGAGGGTGCTACAAGATCTGAAGGCATGATCAGGGGAAGCAGTGGATCTTGTGAATTCAAGAATATATTGCAGGACTGTAAGCACGCTATCCAATTTAAAAATTACAGGAAACACGTCAAGGGCTGGTGAGATGGCTCAGGAGGCTGTTAAATCTGACGACCCTGGTTTGATTCCCAGGACCCATACGATGGGGGCTAGAGCTAACTCCTGCAAGTTGTCCTTGAACCGCTGTACTCCCAACATCACACACACACACACAAATGTTAAGATGTTTCCTATGTTAAACAAATTGTTTACAGACCTAGTATAATCTTAACACATATATCCTGATATATGCCCACACTCAACAAAATAGTTGAGTGCCCTGTTCTCATTCCAGCTTTCACCATGTCTACTGCTATGTGAACTACGACGTAAACTGGTGGAGATGATCCTTTCAGCTATCTTTGGTATTCTGGGTGTAGCACAGCTCTAGATGCAAAGTAGACTCTCAAAGTATGTTAGATGGATGGGTACATAAATAGCAGTCGTATGGAAAGCTATTCCCTAGGAGAAGAGTCACAATGTCAACTAATTGTATATCATGCAATGAAATAATGGATTGCATATCATAACATGTTTTCAATGTACAAAATATGATATATAGTAACTATTTTCTTTGGATGTAAACAGAATAAAATTAATCTTGTTGCAGGGCAGTAATAGGAATGCAAGGCTTTTACAAAACGTCTGATATCATGGCTAATCAATTAGCTGACATCCAATTCACAATTTAGAATCCAACTACATCAGATTACTGCTGCTTATCTCAAAACTGCAGAAACACAACACCCTTTTGTAGATAAAGGTACATTCTTTATTGTAAAGAAAATTCTGGCCCAAATTAAAGAGATAAAGGTTTAATAATATGACTGAAAAAAGACTGGGAGAATAAAATTTAGGACAAGAATTTGGAAAAAAGAAAAGTTAAGAGTCCAGAAGTCGGTCAAATGAAGTAAACACAAGTGAGAGACAAGACACACATCGTTACTGGACTGTTCCACTCAAGCTGGGTGTGGCGGCACATGCCTACCACCCCTGCACTCGGTACAAAGAGGAAGCTCAGGAGTTCAAGCCCAGTTTCAGCTATATATCAAATTAAAGCCAGCCTGAGCTGCATGAGACTGTGTCCAAACCTATAAAACAGCAGAAGTCAGCATTTTATATATATATATATACACACACACTATATATATATATATATAATATATAACGTTAGGGAAATAATTAATAAAATCTTGGGCTGGAGAGCTGGCTCAGTGTCTAAAAGCACTGGCTGCTCTTCCACAGGATCGAAGCTCTAGTTCCAGCACCCATGTATATATATGCACACACACACACACACACACACACACACACACACACACACACACACGCATAACTTTTACTATGTTTTGGGGGTGCTGGGGATAGAACCTAGGACTTTTACTCAGCATGAATTCTACCACTGAGCTACACAACCAGCTCCGAAAATCTTAGCCATACCTGCAATCTTAGCTCTTGGGAGGCTGAGGCAGGAAGATCCTGTGTTCAAGCCCAACCCCAAAATTTACTGACATTTTGTCTCAATAAATGTGCTAAAAATTATTTTTAAAAATATTCCTTTAGCCAGTATTTACTATTAGATTTTCAAAGATTCATTTCTGGAACAAGCAATTTCCTGTAACGTTTCCTTTCTAATGCAATTAAAATTGTTTATTAGAGTGGAATTTGGTATAAGATGGGTTATTTTGGATCTAGTCCAAGAGCACTGGGTTACTAAAGGTAAAAAGTGGCCTTTCCAATAAAGTGATCCAGTGGCTCAGAGCCCATGGACACTGTAAGCTCCAGAGTGAGACAGGAAGCCAGGCCACTAATGGTCCCATCCAAGGAAACCTTACTAAACAACTGTGATAAAAAAGACATGAAAATCATTTAAGCCGGGTGGATTATAGCATTGGTCATTTTTGTTCCAAATAACCCTTTCCTGTGATATCCTTCATTGTTTCATAGGACGGCTATTTCACAAGGAAGCTTTAGTCTCCTTATGCATGCACTGTCTGATGTAGCCTTACATTTTTTTAATTATGAAATATTTCACTAGAAATACTTCTTTACAAAAGAATGCAGTGCCTTTACTATGCGGATAGACAAGACTACCAAAAGTTTATAAAGAATCAAGTTTCTGTGTAGCTCACTGAGAAAGCTAAGATTAAAGAGAGGTGAGAATCGTGTGGCAATCCAATATAAAAATAATACCATTAGCTCCTGATGGCTATGACAGCCAGTCCTTCAAGTGATGTCATAACAGGCACTTTGCACAGAGACGTTTATAAGCACTTCTAAAAGATTAAATACTTCAAATGCATTTTATTATAAGCAGAAAACATGGCAAAGTCCTATTTTTGAAAAATGTAAAAATGGCTCTTTTTTAATAATGTATTGAATGGAAACAACACAAGAGGAGTAAAGTTTTATGGAAACACAGAAACAGCACCCAGGTCTCAAAGCCATATAAGAATACAACGCACAGTAAGACTATAGTTTAGAGTTCTCATTAACTTCCTACACAATTGGAGAAAGCTGTCAGTGGTTCATCTAAAACTCACCTACTGAGTCATGAGAAGAATCTACTCTTTACATGGACCTTTCTTTCATCAACAATGGCCATTCTCCCACTGGTAGAGTTCATGGTGCATGGCCCATGTGCTGTACATACCTTCAACCCTTGGATAAATGCAATGTTAAGGTATTACTTCATGTGTCTTAAACATTTAAGACAAACTACTTGATAATTTCTACTACATATTTTAAAAAATTTCAAAAAGTAAACCAGTAAAAGAATTTTTCTTTGTGTCTTTTACAGTTATTACTGCCAGTTGATTTGTCCATAGTTAGGGAAGGCATCATAGAAGCCAGGGGTACTGCAGAGGCACAGGGACCTCACTAATGACTGTGATTTGCTATATGTCAGGTACTCTTTTACATGACCTTCTATGTTTCAATTTTAACTCTAAAAGCATCTCTTGTTATCACTAGCAAAAACAGCCTATCTCCTACTCTCAAAAGGCCAGCAGCTTACTTTTGGGACGATCATCTTGTTCAGAATGATGATCTGAGGAGACCCTCTGATCTATTACAGTATTATTCTTGTATAAAAAAAATTAAACATTTTTGAAATACTGAGAGCTTGTGGAACATCTCTGAAAACTACTTAGTAATGTGCAGAGAGTAGTAGATTTTGGGAAAAAAATCATGTAGGAAAAGAGGTGGTATTTGTGATTAAGTTGGGTACCCAACTGTAAAGTGATGGGTTTGATGTTTTCCCCGTAGTTTAACGATTCTTCTCAAGGCAGTTTCAAGCTGAGTGTGATACACTGTAAACCCAGAGCTTGGGAGATGGAGACAGGGGAACTGGGAGTTCAAGGCCGGAATGGAATACATGAAATCCTGTCTCAAAACCAAAACCAAAACACCCAATCAAACATCAAAAACGGAAAAAGGGCAACTCCAAAGGTATCAGAAATGTTTAAACTGCATCAGTTAAAACAAATATCCAGCTTTCTAAGTCACTATACACATACGTATGTTCCCAGAATGTAGATAAGTCAGTCATCTGACCTTTTCTATACAATTGTATGCTTCATTTTAAGCATTTTGGAACAAAACTGACTCAGAATAAAATAACAACAGCTATTCCTTTAAATGCCTAAAAGTATTTGCCAAGCCTTTCCAGTATTAAAGCCTATATTTTATAAATGAAGCTAACCCTTTGAAGGCATGGTCCTGCCATGTAACCAGGAGCAGAGGCCGTTTCTGTCTTCTGCCACACATTCTTTCCAGGGCCTGCTACTACCCCTATCTATGACTTAAGAGCCACAACAGGGGGAATGGTTTCTTTCAAAACAATGTAGGAATCAGCTAAATCCACAGATAAATTCCTTACTTGGTAAGCTGTCAATTCAAATTCCATGTACCAAATCGAAATGCTATTAAAATTAAAGCAAACACACGCATACGTGATAACTCGCTTACGCGAAAGAACATAAAAATATAATGACTGGGAATTTTGATTTGTTAATAAACCATGCAGAGAAGTTGAACACTTATAAAATTTCAGTTCAGGCTGGATACAGCTCAATGCTAGAACGCCTACTCAGCATGCGAGGCCCTGGGCTTGATGTCCATACACATACTACTCTCTCAATTCAAATCACCCTAAAGAGTCTTAATGCCCATTCTTTGGGGAAAAAAATCAGTGGATGTAATTTTGGAATGTCAGAGGTGGCCATCTTTTATAAATATTTTATAGATACACAGTTTCACTCTCTAAAACTTGCACACACTCAAAATTCACAGTAGAATCCTGTTCTTTCAGGGAGCGTATTTCAGAGACTGTTTTAAATATGTGTATATGTATATATATATGTAACATCTGCTTATTTACTAAATTTACATGCCAAGTTTTCCATCGTAATAGTTAAAGAATTAAAACTTTATACCAGAATGTATCACATCTCTGGCACTGCTAGTATCTGTGTATTATTTCCGTATGTGTGCACATGCATATGTGTACATGAGTGTGTGTACACGTGTGTGTGGAGACCAGAGGGTGAGGCACATCCCTTTCTCTGATGACAGTGAAGCTTCCCCGAGTTCCCCGTGTTCTTCTTCAGTGTCAACAGGATCAAAGAGTTCAGGTGTGAAACACAGAGAGTCGTCCTCTGCTTCTGCTTCAGTAGCTTTATTTGAACTGGCATGCTTGGCTTCTTCTTCACTTCCTGGAGACAATTCACTGTCCAGGTGGAGGTCTTTCTTTAGAACTGATATTTGCAATATTTCAAATGGCATTCTATAACTGCATATAATTTTGTTTCTGATATTTTAGTTTTAGCAAACAAAAAGACCCCAAATTCAATGAAATATGCATACTCTTACCTTTTTCTCTCTAATAAACGAGTTATAAACAATTTTTTTCTTTTGACTTTGAAGTAGGCCCAGAGCCTCAGTCTTCCACATGCTGGGAAAGCAGCTGTGTGCGCTACGTCCAATCTCAGGCAGGTTAATGAAACAGCAAGCTTTTGGAGATAAACTACGATTTCCAAAAACATCTATGAATTTGCATTAAAACATACAGTAACATATGGCTGAAGTGTGGCTAGACTCAACTGGGATTAATCTCTGTATATTCGTATGAAATCACAATAAGTGAACTATAAAACATGAGTGATTTTGTGAAACTGAAAGTGCCCAGGAAACTAGACATTAGAGGAAGTACTTTGTATGGATTACCTACTTAAAATTCTAGAATAAAACTTGTATTTCTGAACATAAAACAGACAAATCTGATAAGGACTTACAATGAAAATATATCTAAACAATTAAAATTATACCATTTCCCCACTGTACAAATTATTATTTACACAAGGAGGCTTGACCACATCCTGACAGCACTAGCCAAGGTCAGGGAGCCCCTCACTACTGCTTCCAGGTCCTCACGCCTGTGCACGAGCTTCCCCAGGTCAATTCGCTTAGACGAGCTGTCGGCTTTGTTCTCTCCCACCGGGCACGCCTCCATTCAACTTGGTTCTGTGGGCCTTCGACTCTCATTTCTGCCCGAATCCAGTTCCAGTTTCAAAGAGGTCTTCAGCTGAGAAACAATCCGAATCATTACTGGATCTATCGGCTTCCCTGAGGTCCCCGTGTTCTTCATCGGTGTCAACAGGATCAAAGAGTTCAGGTGTGAAACACAGAGAGTCGTCCTCAGGTGCTTCTGCTTCAGTAGCTTTATTTGAACTGGCATGCTTGGCTTCTTCTTCACTTCCTGCAGGCAAGTCCCTATCCGGATGGTGGTCTTTCTCAGGGCAGAAGAACTGTCTGGAATGGTTCTTAGCAGGAGTCACGTCAACCTCCACTGACGAAATCACGATTTCTGACTGAAGGTGAGCTGTGAACGATGTCTCAGCTGCTTCGTTTGAGGTCACACATTCACCCGTGAGTGGCAAAGCGGTTTTATCTTCTGTCTTGAAGGCGGAAGAACCAGAGGCGTGGCTCTCTGAAGACACAAGCACAGGTGTGTGATTCTTTACTTTCCTAGTGCAGTGCCGGCTCAGAGAACTAAAGACAGGCCAGCTGACTGGTTCTGTTTGCTTCCCGAAAGTGGGGCTGGAGGATCTGGAAATGACATTTCTCTCTGTTTTCACTGTTTGAACAGATTCGCCTCTTAGCACTGGATCACCTAAGAATACAAAAACTTAAGTTAGTGTCAACTCTGTGCTCCTAGGGAACATTAACTGTTATGTAATTATTTTTTTTTAAGTTAGAAATACTTTAACAGCAGTATAAAATACACGGTCAGCACCTACCACCAGCAACACTGAACTTTCATCTTGGAATTTAAAGGCGAGAATGTCAACTCTAAAGAAACTGGTTCTCCAGTACTTCCTGGCCTGAGTTAGAACGGTATTTGCAAATGATCATATAAACACTATGGCGACCACAATGGTACAGAAGAAGAGGAAGGATAAAAAGGAAGAGGAAATGATGGAGTGGAACGGGCCGCTGCCTGAGGAGCCAGTGCAGAGCGCTGGCCCGGCATCTGCAAGACTCCTGCACTGTAGGGGGAAAGAAAAAGGAGAAATCTGCCTCAAAAATCCACCAAGTAGTGACCGAGGAAAAGACTAGCCCTCCTATTTAAAAAGTAAGCACACTGACTGTTCAAAGGCTATATATGCTATTTCTCATATTATAAAACTGGTCATCATGTAAGGCCAGAACTGGATCCTAGGCTTCCTGATTGCCACTGTAACAGCCCTGAAGTCACTCTGATACTTACTTAAAAGCACATAGCACAAAATATTTGAAAACAGGTATGATAAGCTACATGGATTATTAAAATTAAAATTATACCCAATCACCGAAATCTGGAATATTTTTTTTTGTTACAGGTCAGATGGCAAATATTTTAGGTTTTATTGCCCATATTATGTCTGCTTCAACTGTTCAAGTAGGCTATTCTGGATAAAACTACAATTACTCAACTTTGTTGTTTTGGGATTATGTAAGCAAGTGAATATATGACCTAGTTGCATTAAACTTCAAACATAAAACAAGCCCGCAGGATGGGCCAGGGTTCAATCCCTGATACAGTCCATGATTCCTAACACTTTAAAACATTATTATTATTATTATTATTATTTTATCATTCAGAATAAATGACTCACATGTCAGATTCAAATAAGGAGTGGTCCTAAATGGGACCTTTCAGTTACAGAGGCTTGCTGCAGCTAAGGATGGCTGGCCTTGAGTTCTTGTTCTTTTTTTTTTTTTTTTCAATTTAATACGACTTCTGTCTAAAAGTTTACATTTATTTATTGTGTGTATGACGATGGGGGCATGCACACCAGGCATGCATGTGGAGCTCAGAGGAGCAGCTTGCAGGAATGCTTCATTCTTTCCGGATTTTAGGGGTCAAATGCAGGTTGTCACATGTGGCAGCAAGCCCCTTTGCCTGCTGAGCCATCTCACCAGTCCTGGCCTAGAATTCCTGGCTCTCTCACCTCTGCCTCCAGCATGTCGGGATTATGGGGTTACAGGTATGTGCCATGATACCCAGTTCAGCTCAATTTTTATAAAGCCTTTAAAATAACGTCTACCACTTACATAGTTATTTTACAATGCTATGTTTATTGTCTTATTTGAGTTTTACAATCCAACTTAGAGGGATAGATAGGTAGGCAGGTTATTCACTTTTTCTATTATATATAAAAAGGTCAAGTGGCTTGTTCACACTTAACAATGCTAGTTAAGGGGCAAAGCTAATGGAAAACCAGAAAATACACTTTGGTATCCTAACAAAAGTCTGTCCCCATTCAAACATACTGGATTATTTTATCAACACTTCACGTTATAAACCAATTAATCTGTACCCAAGTCATTATCATTTTCCTATTATATAATGAAACTGAAAAAGGGCAGACTTCAACATACTTTTCTTCCTGCTGGAGACAGCGTGACTCAGTACTGACGGGTTTTGGGCAGCCATTTTTGGACTCTGCAGCTCCTGGACACACACTTCTGCCGCTTCTTCCCTAGAACTTCCTGGCGACAGAGGACTTGCTTTTGACACACTTGTAAGAGTGCTATCCTCCAAACGGGCCACTTCCAGAGTAGACTCCTTGTCTTTTATACACTTTTTGTCTTTTTTGGCTCTATTAGTAACTTTCTGGTGCCTTTTGGAAAACTCAGTCAAGGACTCCAGGGCACTTGCAAAGGTTGAGTGGTGCTGAATCTGCTGCCTCACCCATTTAGAAAGCCCTAAAAAACAGTGGATCCAAGTGAGAAACTGGTTACTTAGTTACCAAAATATTTACGCATTAAGATTAACTTTACTGTTTCTAGTGAAGCGACCTAATTTGCATTTGAATACAAGGAATGGCTTTCAAACTTTTATTACATATATATTGCATGTATATGAGCTATGAAGGGATTATGGCATGAAAAAGGCATCATTAGTTTCAAAATACTGAAAGTTGAAAATGCAGGCAATGTGCCTAATCCACCCAATCAGAGTTTAGCCACACAGGGAGCTGCGGAGCACCGGCTGTTTGCTGCTGTGATCACGGGACACACTGGGAGCCGAAGCTCCTCGCCGGTGCCAGCATCTCCGACACGCTGATCATCAGCCAGGCAAAGAGCAAACCTCTCTCCAGTGCAACTTCTGCTGACTGTGTTCACAGCACTGTAACAAAGCTGGAAGTGTCTAGAAACTGGGCCAGTAACGCGAGTCCCGGGTGTAAATGCTGTGCAAGTCTGATGCCCTGAGTGCCACTCCTGGAACCCACGTGAAGGGGGTAGGAGAGAAGTGACTCAACCAGGTTGTCCTCTGACCTCTACACGTGCACCAGGGCCCCCTCCCTCACACTGCATCGTACATGCAGGGTAAGACGGTGTGAGTAACGCACCTTTCCATGCCAACAATCTAAATTTGTCTCCTTTCCCAAAAGTAAACTCAAGATGCCAGTCTCAAAGTTTTTTTTTCTTTCCTGTCCCTTCCTCCACTAGTTCCTTAAACTAGTCTGGGAGTGGAAGAAGCTGCAAGGCTTTCCCGGGGAAAATTATATCTATCCAAATTGTTATTTATTTACACAATAATAAGCACAAGAGATATGACTCAACCAGGGACATGTTAAAATTGTATATGAACTGTATAAAACAAACCATATTAAGAGCTTAAGGTGTTTTGTGTATGGTTAGTTTTATACTAAAATAAAAAATATTTAGATTTTAAAAATACTCAAATTATCATAAAACTATCAAAAAAAATTCCCTGAATAATGCTGCAAAAACTGTCATTGTCTTGGAATAATTAAGTTTTAAAAAATTGTGCCGGGCGGTGGTGGCGCATGCCTTTAATCCCAGCACTCGGGAGGCAGAGCCAGGCGGATCTCTGTGAGTTCGAGGCCAGCCTGGACTACCAAGTGAGTCCCAGGAAAGGAGCAAAGCTACACAGAGAAACCCTGTCTCGAAAAAAAAACAAACAAAAAAAAAATTGTTCATTTATTTGTGTATGTGTGTGTGTGTGCTCGAGTTGTGTGTGTGTGGCTTGTGAGCTCATGAAGGTTGGAGGCTGATGCTGAGTGTCTTCCTGTATTATTCTCCACCTTGTTTTTTGAGACAAGGTCTCTCCTCACTGAACCTAGAGCTCACAATTTTGGCTACACTGGTTGGCCAAGCAAGTCCCCAAGATCTGCTTATCTCTTTCCCTGCAATTCTGGTATTGCAAATGCATGCAACCGCAGCTGCTGTGCTGAGAACCTGCACTCAGGTCCTCATGCTTTAACAGTAAGCCTTTTACCCACTGAGCCATCTCCCCAGCCCTGCAGTAAAGAGCTTAAAAAGTCACCATGGCATTATGTTTAAAGAAGATGAAATAGGGCTTCATGAAACCTAAATTATTACACTGTAATTTCAAGTATATTTCTTTAGTTTTCTTTTCTTTTTTTTTTTTTTTTTTGTTTTTTTGTTTTTTGAGACAAGGTTTCTCTGTGTAGCTTTGTGCCTTTCCTGGAACTCGCTTTGGAGACCAGGCTGGCCTCGAACTCACAGAGATCCGCCTGGCTCTGCCTCCCGAGTGCTGGGATTAAAGGCGTGCGCCACCACCGCCCGGCTAGTTTTCTTAAAATGGAATTTTTCTGAGTTATCTATGTGTGAAAATAGAATTTAAACAAAAAATTGCCATTAAAATAAATTTATGCATCATGTTAGTATTACCAAAGTAAGGAAACACTTCATAATTTACAAATGCCTGAAAATGAAATTAAAATATTCCAGAAACTTGGAAATATTTGATCCTAACATATTAATAAATCTGAGCGATGAAATAAAAACTTGAGTTTTTATCTTTTTTAAGAAAAGCACTAACATTAACTTTATTTTGAAAAAATGATTGTGTCAAATGAAAATGTAAATTCTCTAAAACTGAAAACTTTTAGTACTATCATTTCTTCATTTTGGGTTTTTTTATAATCAAAGAAAGTCTTTTTAGCACAAGACATCATTGCCGACCTTTGACCACTCAGCAGGGTCTGCGCTCCACCTGCTGACTAAACACGAGTACTTAGGGTCTGAGCTCCACCTGCTGACTAAACACCAGTACTTAGGGTCTGAGCTCCACCTGCTGACTAAACACGAGTACTTAGTATTTTCGCTTTTAGATACGGCTTGATCTGAGGTGCTGCGTTGTATAGACCAAAAAAAAAAAAAGTAGGGGAAAAACTCTAAGAGCAACATACTCTGCTTTAAATCTTGACAGCAAGCGCGTTTCTGGTATTGACTGAATGGACTGTCACTGCTGGATGAAAACCACAGGCAGATAATACCTGTTAAATGACCATCTACTTACCTTCCTGCCCACTGGCACTTTACTTCCTTTTAGAAAATACTTGCTTTGACTAACATGAACTTTATTTTGTGTGTATGTATATTGTACATGTGTGTGCACACCTGCACGTATGCCTGTGAGTGGATGCTGGAGACTGAAGTTAGGCATTTCCTCAGTTATTCTCCACCTTATTTTTTGAGACAGGATCTCTCCCTGAACTAGAAGCTTGTCTGTTTGGCTCTACCCCCTGTCCAGCAAGCTCCAGCAAGCTGCCTGCCTCCCTTCCCTGTGGCACAGGAGTTACAGAAGTGCTCCCCTGCACCTGACTTTTACGTGGGTGCTGGAGATATGACCTCTGGTCCTAATGTTTACATAACAAACACTTCCCAACTGAGCCCTCTCCCTAGCCCTTTAAATAAAACTCAGAAGAACAGAAACATATTTAAAGAAACAAGCAAATAAATACAATAGCAAACTTGAAAATAAATTAATCAAGCAGCCAAAAGAGATGTACTTACATAAGTGAAAAAACTTAGTATTTTTTGAAAAATAAGAGAAAGAACCTTTTCTTTGACAATGGTAAACAAAATACTGCTACATTATTAAATTATGTGCCATAGTCTATAAAATTGAAAAGTAATAATTGACTTAATAGTTGATGACTAAAAATTTTCTCATCCATAAAGAATTTTTACAAACACATGAGAATTCAAAGACTAGCTTTCCAGTTAGTTTGATCTCCTGATTCGAATTTGCATTCTAATTCTTCATTTTTACAAATGAAGCTACAGAGGTCTGGAGAGATGACTCAGTCAATATGGTGCTTCTTGATGGATACGGAGACTTGAGTAGAATTTGGTCCCCAGAACTCACATAAAAAAGCTGGGAGTGGTGGTGCACCCGTGTAACCCCAGCACTGAACAGGCAGACCCCTGGGCCTTGTGGCCAGCCAGCCGAGCCTAAGCAGTGAGCCCAGGCCAGTGAGATCCTGTTTCAGAAAACAAGCTGACGGCTCCTGAGGAACCACACCTGAGGTTGACATCCATGTACACGCACACACATGCATTTGTATCCCCATGTGTGTACACACACACACACACACACACACACACACACACACACACACACACAGGGTAATAAAAATAGGAGCCATAAAATATAAAAAATTTATGATGGCAGAACAGGAAACCCCAGATCCCACGTTCCTCCTTTAGAAACATGGATCCAATAATTCACGGACCAAACCCCTTTATGAGAAATCCAGAGAGAAGTTAAAAAGTTCTGGAACCCAGGCTAGAGCAAAACCAATTGTCTCAAAGCAGGCAGGCAAATGTGTGGAACCTTCTCACACAGTCCTCCTCTCAGACCGGAGCCACAGGACTAGGAGTGAAGTTCCTGGAAGGAAGACTGGAGGGCAGGCCCAAGTCCTGAAGTTTGCTTCTGCCCTCTCTGTCTGGAAGCGCTGGCAGCGGGCGGCGGCGGCTGCTCCAGAACTACGTTACAGGACACAGAGGCTGCTCCAGCTCAGCAGCACTTCAGGAAAGAGAAGACTGGTGTGGAATGGATGTCAGCTTTTCAATGAACGCCTAGGACTGGATTGTCCCAGTGGTAAGGGAGCACTCACATTATATGGCAAATTCTCCAGAGCTGGATGGCAGCATGCTGCTGCTTAAGAGACCTCACAGCACAAGAGACAGACAAGAAGGCACAACAGGTTCTGATATCTAGGGAGAAAAAGAGGGCCAAGAGAGAAACTGGCAAAGCCCTCTAGTTAGGTCCCCACACAGGGAATGCAGAGACCAGAGCCATACAGAAGATCAGGGCTACCAGCTGCCCAGCAGGCTGAGGAGTGAGGTCTGTCCGTGTGAAGTTGCTGAAGCAGAAACTTCTGAGAGGTGACTTTCATCAGATGTGTGTAGAGACCAATACAACATCACAAAGACACATGGGACACAGCTCCATCACAGGAGCAAGCTAACTTCGGAACACGTGAGAGCAGGAGAGAGGGGAGGGGAACAAGAGAGAGTATGAGCGTTAATCACCAAAGAGATAAAGAACGAAAAACAAAAAGAACCAAATTCTGGAGCTGAAACGTTCACTCACTAGAGGGGCTCAACTGTAGATCTGATCAAGCAGAGGAAAAACCTCAGATGATCTGAAATTACACAGAGGAGCAAAAATGAAAAAAAAAAAAGTGAAGCAAGCCCAGCGGAATTATGGGAGACCCATTAAGCAGGACAGTGTGTTTCAGGACTCCTAGAAAAGGCGAAAGAGTTAGGAGGCTTCTTTACAGAAAAGTGGAAGGAGTCAGGAATCTGAGACTGACCTCGGCTACATAACAAGTTTAAAGCCAGTCTAAGCTTCATGAAGCCCTCAAAAAACACAAAACAAAGACAAGTGCATGCCTTTAATTAGAGCACTCTGGATGCAGAGGTGGGTGAGTGGATCTCTGTGAATTTGAGGCCAGCCTGGTCTACATAGGGAGTTCTAGGCCAGTCAGGGCTGCAGAGGACCTTGTCTCAAAACAACAAAAACGAAACAAAAAGTTTAGTGATGCAAAATGGCTTCATGCTTGTAATCCCAGTATTTGGAAAGCCAAGGAGACAAGGCTCTCTCTTAAAAAAGCAATAAATTAAAATAAAACAAAAGACAGATTATAATCCAGTTGTCTAAGACCAGAGCAAAAGAAAATAAAAGCAGCAAGACAAAAGCAATCCATCACATGCAAGTAGACTTCCAAAGACTGCCGATGGATTTCTCAGGAGAAATCTCACAGGCTTCAAGGGGATGAGGTGATAGGTTCAAAGCGCTGAAAAGAAAAGCCCCACACTACTAACTAGGAATGCTACATCTGGCTAAACTGTCCATCACAACGCAGGTGCGATAGCCTTTCTCAGATTAACAAAGGCGGAGGGAGGGAGTTCCTGACCACTGGGTCTGCTTTGTAAGAAACGGTGAAAGGAACACAGTAGCCCATCAAAGTGCAGCTTGCCAACAAAGGCAACTGGACAGACAGCTACCAAATATTTCAGAACAGTAATGACATCCTTCCCCCTTTTCCAGTGCTGAGGATTGAACCCAGGACCCCTGTCAGGGAAAAGGGAAGTACTTGACCGCTGAGCTACATCCAAGCACAAATCACTTTTAATTTTGGCACAGAATCTAAAAAATAAAAGTCTACAAGATAATAATCAGTATAAAATATGTAGGTAGAAACATAACTTTAAGAGGCTAGTTTATGACTTGAACACAAATGTTGGTGACAGGAAAGTCACTGTTTCTGTTGGGAGACGGCTCAGTGGGTAAAGCACTTGCCACGCAACAGTGCGGAACAGAGTTTGAATCCCCGGGATCCAGGAAAAGCATGATGAGTCGTCCCAGTGCTCCCCAGGGATAACGGGAGGCAGAGAGAGAATCCCGCGAAGCCCTTGCTCCCTAACCTGGCAGACGCAGGGGGATAACAACAGAGACCTTGTTTCACACAAGGTAAAAGCTGAGGACACCTATCCGAGGGTGGACTCTAACCTCTACATACTCGTACACCATGTCATGTGTGTGCCACATTCACACACGAATGCATCCCCCACACACTGTACACACACACACATACACACACACACAAGCAGATGTTTAGTAAAGTGGTAAGTGCTGTGTAGCAATTTCCTCCGCGATAAGACCTTCCGTCTTGGAGGGAAGCTCACCAAGATACAGTTCTCTAAAGCAGTGGTTCTCAGCCTGTGGTCGCAACCCCTTTGTGGGGGTCAAATGACCCTTTCATAGGGTCATCTAAGAGCATTGGAAAACGCAGATGTTTACATTGTGATTCATAATAATAGCAAAATTACAGTTATGAAGTAGCAATAAAAATAATTTTATGGTTGGAGGTCACAATATGAGAAACTGTGCCGGGTGGTGGTGGTAGTGCCCGCCTTTAATCTCAGCACTTGGGAGGCAGAGCCAGGCGGATCTCTGTGAGTTCGAGACCAGCCTGGTCTACAGAGCAAGAGCCAGGACAGAGACCAAAACTACACAGAGAAACCCTGTCTTGAAACCCCGCCCCCAATGAATAAATAAATAAATAAAAATAAAAAATGAAAATAAAATATGAGAAACTATATTTAAGGGTTGAAACATTAGGAAGGTTGAGTGTTGTGGGATATTTGATCACACTGTGTGAAGATGTGTTCATCCTTCCTCACCTGCCTAAGGCACCTTCTGATTGGCGAATAAAGAGCTGAATGGCCAATAACTAGGCAGAAGAGGATAGGCAGGATTTCAGGAGAGAGAGAGAGGAAGTGGGGTGGGGTGGGGGGAGACTCTGAGAGGAGGGAGATTTGCCAGCAGGATGCCAAGGAAGTTGTCTGTACTGAGGGGAGGTAATGTGCCATGTGGCAGCACGTAGATTAATATAAATGGGTTAATTTAAGTTTTAAGAGCTAGTTGGGAACAAGCCTAAGCTAAGGCTAAGCTTTCATATTTAATGAGAAGTCTCTTTGTCATTATTTGGGAGCTGGCGGACCAAAGAAAGTCTGACTACAGTTGAGAAGCACTGTTCTAAAGGAGGTGAAACACTCCATCCGCTCCAGAAGCAACAACTCAAAGGCTCCTGGAAGTTCCTGAAACTGACCAGAGAGACAAGCTTCCTCCTTCCTTAAGTACACATAAGCAGTAAGAACTGCTGAAAAGTACTCAGAGCAGCCAAGCTGCCTGGAAGAGGCAGAGTTTAGCTGAGCTGCCTGAGGAGGCAGATTCCAGCCAATGCTCAGAAGAGGTTCAGACCAGCTGAGCCGCCTGGAAAAGACATTCTCCAGTCTGTTGAGCTGCCTGCAGCTTTGCCCTGTGCTCCAGGTTTCCAACTTTTGTGTACAAGTCATAGAAGAAAAAAATAAGGAGAAATCTCCAAAATACTGATCTTCATAAATATCTGCTGGTCTAGAACTTACATACGATCCAGTGACTTTATTCTTAAATACGATAAAGTGTCTAACCACCCATGTTCACTGTAGTCCCCGGGATCCAACAAGTAGAAACAACCTAAATGCCCACTTAGAGATGAACAGAGAAATACGCCCTGCACGCACTGTATTCTTCAGCCGTAGACAATGAGGAAATCCTGTTGGGTACTTCAACAAGGATGAACCTTGAGGATAGTATACTAAGTGAAACACGACAGTCACAGAGGGACACATACTGCAAGACTCAACTTTACATGCATCATCTAAGTCACTGAACTCAACGGGGAAAGGGCAGTTGCCACTGTATGGGGAAGGACAAAATGGGGTACTGATGGCCAATCAGTGTAAAGTTTCAGGTATTAAGATGACAGGTTCTACAGATCTAATGTGCAGTATCGTTTACAGTTAGTATTACATTACACACAGTTATATAAAATACTATACAAAGAGGCAGATCTCATGTGGCTTTTTTTTTTAACCACTAAGGAAAAACAAAGCCTATTAGTAATTTTTACTCTAAACTGAGAATCTTACCCGATATGTAGCGGTTTGGGTTGCTATTAAAACGATCATCCACTAGAATAAGAGCTCCCCAATCATTTTTGTGTCGAATACACCTACAAAAAAGGGGAAAATAAAATGTGTATAAAACATTGAAAATAGAGCCAGATTTCCAAAGGGATAGTTATGAAAATGGTGTTCAGCTATGTATTACTGTAATCAATTCAGTCTGTTAAGTCATTTAGTTGCTCAACTGATTTTCAGTATTAAAAATGTGATGATATCTCTGTCTGCTCACTCTGGAGTTTGGCATTTTTACTCCTTCACTGAGATGGGATTTTGAGGGAATGAAGATAATAAATGTTCAACTTTTACAGTTTAAAAATTTTAATTTCATATGACATTCTTCTTTGACATTATTTTAAAGTAAGCTACAGGTTCCAGGACAACAGATCATATAACATACGGCAGAACAGGAAGAAGTTATATACTGTCATTATTATAGAAGGGTGCTGAAAAACAATAGGAAGTCAGGGAAATCTATTTGGGGTTCACTTTGTGTTTAAAGTGGATTTTGGTAGAGAGGTATTTAAATTAATAAAACATTAAAGAGAAAAAGGTTTCATCTTTTCCATTGTTTTTACTGCCTTGCTCAAATGAATCATGCTCACTTGAGAAATGATATTATACTTCAAGTGAAGCTGACGGTGAGAAACTCTTACTTGTGACTTAGCTGTAAAACCATCTGGTGTATTTCTGAAGGCTGTTATTATATTTCACCGACTTTACTACTCCAGATAATTATAATGCCCATGTAGTCTTTAAAAAAGATGACAATGAGGGGTTGGAGAAGTAACCCAGTTGGTAAAGAGCTTATGGGGCAAGCATGAGGACCTGAGTTCAGATCCCCAGAACTGACATAAAAGCCAGGGTGGTAGCACACTCCTGCAACCCCAGTGCTGCGGGGTAGAGCCAGGAAGATCCTGAAGTTCTCTGGCTCATCTGTCTAGCTAACGGTAAGCTCCACATTCAGAGAGCGAGCCCATCCAAAAGACATAGTGGATACTGACAGAGGAAGACAACTAATGTCAACTTTTGGCCTCTACATGGGCATATACTCCACACCCCTCCCCTATGTGAATGCAAGACATTAAAACAACTGATTAGTTTCTGTTTACTTCAGTTTTCTGCATGTGTCTCTCATAAGAGTGTTTCAATTTATAAACACCTTTATATCAATTAGCACTCATGATACAAAACATTCAGTTGATTGTTACTTTTTCATTAAAAACTTAATTATCATTAAAAACTATGTTCTTTGTTGTAAAAGCTAGTTAGTAACAAGCCTAAGCTACTGGCTGAGCATTTACAATTAATATAAGCTGGTGGTGGTGCAGGCCTTTAATCCCAGCACTTGGGAGGCAGAAGCAGGTGGGTCTCCATGAGTTTGAGGCCAGCCTGGTCTACAGAGTGAGTTCCAGGACAGACAGGGCTGTTACACAGAGAAACTCTGTCTCGAAAAACAAAAAAACAAAAAACAAAAAAGCCTCAGCTGCTGGCAGGACAGAAACTTCCACCAACAAATGGCACCCAAATGTTCAGCAACTACATCCACATAAAACCTGAGAGAGCTTGGAAAAAGAGCTTGAAAAAGGGTTCTAGACAAACAGAATCAGAGCCAAGAGCAGCTTCCTAGTCTTGTGTCTCTCATGCCAGGCCACAGTACAGGGATGCATCTCCTGGCTGCTGCCTGTGGACTTGAGCTGCCAGTGTACCATGAGATAAGTAGCATGACAGGTTCCTGTAGCCTCTCATGCTAGTTAGCTGCAGTCCAGTACACAAAAGAATCTCCTGGCAGTTAGCTACAGGAGGGAGCCAGCCAGCAAAACAGAGGCAGGGGTCCTAGCCACACTGCTTAGCAGTTAAAGGCTCATGCAATCAGAAAAAGATTACAGATACACAGTAAAGACAGATTCAAACAAAACAAAAAACAAAAAAATAACTCTGAATGGGTTGCACTGTGTTTAAAAATACACATAGGCTTGGGAGAGAAAAGGGTAGAGAAAGTCCTTAAAAAAAGGAATAGAGTAATAAAAAATATAATAAACCACATAAAGATGGAAAATACAGAGAGAGTTTGAATCCTGTATGTATTGTGTTGACTTTGAGTTTTTTGACTGCTGAGGAAGGAGTGACATCTCCTAAGAGACACTGGATTATAAAACTGTTGGCTTAAATCAACCCGTATATTTTTAAAATGTCTTGACTTCAAAATGGAAATCAAAAGATGTGTTACTTTGGAGAAGAGATTATGCTTTTATTTCCACAGGAAATGAGAGGCTGTGGATTCATTCCAGGTTAAAGAAAATCAGGTTTGATTGAGGAAGACCCCCTGAAATCCTGACTACAGACATAAAGAAACAATCCTAGAAAAGCTACAAGACATGTGATGTATATTTTACCTGTTCAAACACTTAACAAAAATATCATCTTTGGCTAACTTGTGTACAATGCACTGTCTATACTTGTATTAATGCAGATATGTATATAATTACCTTTAAAATTTTATGTATTTTCAGAGCAAGGGGACCAGACACTAATGAAAACAGATGGCCTAGACGGTCCAACATCTAAAACAGTTTCAAGGATGCTTGCTGAGATGGTCCAGTCTCACAAACTATTCCAGTCAAGACCTAACAATTATCCTGATTTTCTCAAGGTTCCCCCAAAGATTATCAGTGCCCCCAAACAACAGGAAATAGTCTAGATAACTATACCCACATCCCGAAAGATAGGTTATGGATATTTATTATCATTTAAGGGGGGTTGGTTACAAGTTGTTGCTGGTCATAGTCAGAAAAAAAGCTGAACAAGAGAGATTAGATTCACAGATCTCTTTCTGAAAATAAAAAGTGTGTGTGGGGGGGAATATAGAAATGATAGGATAAAAATGTAGACTACTGAATCTACTTTTAAATTAAAAAAGCAACTACTAGTATTAAATATTTTACATTGGAATGGAGTATGGTTTATTGATACAAATTTAAAGTTATTTTTGCTATACTATATGTATGTTTCTACTCTTGTTTGGGGTATTGTGCTTATGTAACCCTTTTAAAAATAGAATGTATAATTAAGAAATACAAATTAATAGTTATCTATAATAGTCAAACTTATAGTCATATTAGCTATGTTTAGATATATTTAGATCGACAGATGGTCTTCAAACACTTCAAAGACCTACAGAATATGGCATTTAATATGTTTAATAATCTAAGGCTTTTCATGACAGCAAGACACTCTACTCCTGGCAGCACCAATTTACTTCAGAGGAGACAATGGGCAACAAAGAAACTCCATATGAAGTTTGCCTTCCTTATGGCAAAAGCTAGCCATTTGGGCAAAAAACTGCCCTTGCCTCAATTGCTGACTATATACTGTCCAAACTGGACCAGCAGGACACACAAAAAAGTGACTGCTAGACTTTGCCAAGACAAGGTAGGACAGCCGTTCAAAATTTCCTGCTTCTCAGAAAAGTCTGTCAGATATACTAGGTCTATAGGCCAAAGACGGATGCCCCAACATTACAGAAGAACTTATGGTGACTGTTCAGGCAGCCAGATGTCCCTGTCATTAGGTAACATTTCATTCTTCTGGGGTATTTGACAGAGTTGAGACTAGGTCATGGTTAAAGTTTTCCTTAGTTATGATAAAAGGTAAATTAGGTATAAAACTTTAGAATCATAAAGGTAAAATAGATAATAGAATACTTTCTCTAATTTTGACAAATACAAATGAGCTAGATATAGTAATTGTAATTCTTACTTAATAACTGTTTTTGTTATATATAATTTTACTATGTTAAAATTAAAACCTTCCTTTTAATTGGGCAAAAAGAGGGAAATGCTTTGGAACAACCCTTTTGTACACTGTAAAGGTATGTCACTTGAATTGGTTTAATAAAAAGCTGACTGGCTGGTAGCCAGGCAGGAAGTATAGGTGGGACAACCAAACCAAGGATGCTGGGATTAAGAAGGGTGGAGTCAGAGGAGACGCCAGCAGATACAGAGGAGGCAGGACTTGTAGAAAATGAGGTAGCAGGCCATGAGCCACATGGCAGAGGGTAGATAAGAAATATGGGTTAATTTAAACATTAAGAGTTAGCTAGCCTGAGCTATTGGCTGAGCATTTACAATTAATATTATGCTTCTAAGTGGTTATCTGGGAGTGCTGACAGGACAGGAAAACTCTGCCTACACTTTGCTGATAGTGTCCCTGAAAATCAATAAACGACAATACAATTAACATACCAAAGGCACAGTATTGTGTGTGAATATTCCAAATGTATGACTTTAGTGGTACTTTGGAAAAACACGTTTTGAAGCTCTAGAAGTTGGCTGGCAATGTAGAATGCGGCAAAGCAGCAAACCTTACATTTTCCACTATTTGCCAAGCAATTCTGAAGCATCCATGCCAAGCCGAGACATAGGAGGGTGCTGAGAATGCAAGTGTATATATACATGTGCTGGGAAGGGACACAAATACATACACAAGCTATTACCTGATGATAAAATATATGCTACAATAGAGATAATGAACATAATCTCCTGGGTTTACTGGGGTAGAAAGAGGTCTAGGTGAAGAAATAGAAGGCATTCACATAGGACATGACTTCAACCAGGCTGTAACTATTACTATGCAATTGAAGAGCATGGAAGCTTATGTGCCAAGGCAGAAAGGCATGCCAGAATATGGTAGGTTTCATGGTGAAAATGTTAGTGGACAGAGGTAGGGAATATACATGAAAAAGCAATTCTGTGGTTTTAAAAGTGTAGGTGGGGCTACAATGTGAAGGGCCAATTAATAACCATCTGACCTCAGCCAGATTAACCAGTCTGAAAACAAAACAGGAAAATTAAATTATGAGGTTCCAACTTGCATTGCTATTAGGTGTTATCAACCGACAAATCAAACATGCTAATATGTAGAGTTTATAAATCATAAAGAATGCAAGTGGAATTCATACTTCACAAGATTTCTTGAAGTTCAAGGTGTTATATTAATATTAAAAAAATCAATGGAGGTAAGAATACTTTAATTTTATAAAAATTAGCATAACAAGTAAAAGTCAAGAATTTAAAAATATATATTCAAGCTTTCCTAGAAACTATAATCAGCCATCAGGAAGAGAAAACAAAATGCTTCAAGAAAAACCATGCAGTGAGCCGGGTGGTGGTGGCACACGCCTTTAATCCCAACACTCGGGAGGCAGAGCCAGACGGATCTCTGTTAGTTCAAGGCCAGCCTGATCTACAGAGTGAGATCCAGGAAAGGCGCAAAGCTACACAGAGAAACCCTGTCTCGAAAAACCAAAAAGAAAAGAGAAAACATGCAGTGCAGTTGGGTGCCAAGGAAAACAGCATGCCAGACAGGAAAGCCAGCAAGACAGCAGCAGCATAACAATGTAATTGGTTTGAAGAGAACAACAAAAAATCTAAATTAAAAATTAAAAAAATTATTTTTGAGACGATAACTTAAAAAGTGACCCCAGAGGCTGGGAATGAGAATGACTCAATTGGTAAAGAGCTTGCCACCACAGTTCTCAACTCCCACTTCTGACGTCCATGAAAAACATACTTTCCTAGAGTTCAAACTAAACGAAATCTTACCACATTGATTTTTTTTTTTTAATTCTCCCTGAGACAGAGTTTCTCTGTGTAGCCTTGGCTGTCCTGGAACTCACTCTGTAGACCTTGAACTCACAGAGATCCACCTGCTTCTGCCTCCTGAGTGCTGGGATTAAAGCTGTGGATCACCACCGTCCAGCTTTCCACATTGATTTTTAAAAGTAGCAAACGTTACTTTTTCTTCTTGGGCACAGACACCACCCCAGACAGTACCACTGTAATCGATTTTACTTCACTCACCTGCCGAGAGCCTGATTTAAGGCTCTGTATGCTTGAATTTCATACCACTGACGGCCAGGCAAAAGGCCTCTCAACTTTGAATGGTGGTCATTGTACTGTCGTTTTAGTTCAACCTAATAATTTAAACATTAAAAAAAAATGTAGTGGATAAGTAAAGCTTATTTTAAACATCATATGAATATCTAACATTTTAAATTTTATTTAGAGTATTTTGTTTTTCAGTTCTGAGTTTTTTCAGTTCATTCATTCTTACATTTTCTCAATGCTCTCAGGTATATAATTATTTGTGTGAGAACATTTCCACACAATAAAATTCACACATTCTCAGTGTATAACATAAGTTCTAGGAAATGTACAGTCTGTAACTATCAGGTAATTATAATATAGATCATTTCAACACTGATATCTTTTCAGCTGATTGCCTTCTTAAACTCCTGGCTGTGGCAGCCACAGACTTGCTTGTTTTTGCCTTTTCTGAAATTTCAAGTAAATGTTATTAGGCATTCTGTACTCATTTGTGTCTATACTGACTACATAGTATATTGTGGTGATACTCTGTGTATGCTCTAACAAATAAAGCTTGCCTGAAGATCAGAGGGCAGAGCTAGCCACTAGTTAGCCATAGAGGCCAGGCAGTGGTAGCACACACCTTTAACCCCAGCACTCGGGAGGTTGAGACAGGAAGTGATATGGCTGGGCGGAGTGAGGAATATAAGGTGGGAGGAGACAGGAGCTTTCTCTCTTTCAAGATGAGGATTTCATAGAGGTAAGAACTAGTGGCTGGCTGCTCTGCTTCTCTGATCTTTCAGCTTTCACCCTGACATCTGGCTCCAGGTTTTTATTATTAAGACCAATTAGGATTCGTGCTACAACATATTACTTTGGGAATTCATCCATATTAAAGTACATAAATGAAACACATACATATTCCATTTATTTATAAAGGCAGTGTGTGTGTGTGTGTGTGTGTGTGTGTGTGTGTGTGTGTGTGGTTTGAATGAGAATAGCCCCCATGGGCTCATATATTTAAATGTTTCCTCACCAGGGAGTGGAACTGTTTGAAAGGTTTAGAAGAATTAGGAGGTGTGGCCTTGTTGGAGGAACTATATCACTGGGGATGGGCTTTGAGGTTTCAAAAGCCTGTACCAGACCCAGTCTCTGCCAGGTTATGGATCAGGATGCAACTCTCAGCTACTTCTCCCATATCATGGCTGCCTGCTGCCATGTTCCCTGCCATGATAATGGACTAAGCCTCTGAAACTATAAGCAAGCTCCCAGTTAAATGTTTCTTTTATAAAAGGTCATGGTCTCTTCACATCAATAGAACAGCGACTAACACACACACACACACACACACACACACACACACACACACACACACACACACACAATCTATCTCATTTTTTTCCAGTATCATGATCCTTGCTTTTTGAATAGAAGTTATCTCATTTATATTTAATGAAGTTATTGTTATAATCAGGTTTAAGATTACCATATTGCTGTTTTTTCCTATTATCCCATCTACAATTCCATTTTTTTTTGTATCAAAATTTTTTCTAGAGAGGCCACAGGCCTTGCCATTACAATGAGCAAGCATGTGATGGAGATGGGAGAGAAAGAGAAGCAGAGTAGTTTGTACACTAAGAGGCGGAACTAGAGATGTGCCGGTGATGAGAGGTCTGCGCTGCCACCTGAGGCCATGACGGCCCAAGGGCCATGTCTGGGTCCGTGGCCCTACCACAGCCAGGCGGGGTCTGTGTCAATATCCCTGGCCCGTGTTATCACCAGAGACAACATGCACATCTGTGGTCTTGGTTACCATTTAAGGACATGTTGATGTCCAAGTGCCTCGCTGAGCTGGCCCCGCCCCTCAGCAGGGCTGTGTGGGAGAGCTGGCCCCACCCCTCTCCTGAGCATCGTGAGAGAGCTGGCCTTGGGGCACGGCTGTGGGAGGGCCAGCTGGCTAACCAACTCAGCTACCACCCAAGCCCACATCCAAGGTTTTGAGTTGGCCCAAGTCTATCCCACCTATGAGCTGCTGGAGCGCATGAAGGGACTGGTCCTGAAAATCCAAAGCTGCAGAAGCACCATGACTCAGGGCAACAGCAGGACATCTGAGAAGAGTTTTGGTGAGGGTCCAGTGTCAATGGTATAGCAAAAGAAAGAGGCTTTGAACCAGTCCGTCTTGTTATAATGAACATTTGTAAGTAAAGCTATTTGGACAAAAGGATAGACTGTGTGACACACTGTGGCTTCCGCGGCAAGATTTTTGTTTTGTTTTATTTTTTATTTTCTTTTGGGGGAGGTTACAAGGGTGGAGGGCAGATACAGAAGGACTGGGAAATGAGTGGGATTGGAGTGCATGATGTGAAATTAACAAAGAATCAATAAAAAATTACGAAGAAAAAATTTCTTCCTAGTGTTTCCATCTCTAAGTTTTTTCCATTTTTTTTTTTTTTAATTTTCTGTGTATGATTGTTTGCAGTATCCTTGGAGGCCATAAGAGGGCATTCAATTCCTGGAATTGGAGTTACAGTAAACCACTATGTCAGTGCTGGGAATAGAACCCAGGTCCTCTGGAAGAGCAGCCAGTGCTCTTAACTGCTGAGCCATCTCTCCAGCCTCTAGTGTTTCCATTTTCATTTTTAGTGATTGCTCTAGAGTTTACAACACACATCTTAACAACACAATCTACCTTAAAATAGTATTAGACTATTTCACAAGCGGCCTAAGAATGTACTACAATTTAATTTCTTTTTATGTATTTATGCCATTTTAGGTTTTTTTTTTTTTTTTGGTTTTTCGAGGCAGGGTTTCTCTGTGTAGCTTTGTGCCTTTCCTGGAACTCACTTGGTAGCCCAGGCTGGCCTCGAACTCACAGAGATCCGCCTGGCTCTGCCTCCCGAGTGCTGGGATTAAAGGCGTGCGCCACCACCGCCCGGCCTTAGTTTTAGAAACACTATAAAACCATAATGTGTTCTTCTTATTCTTTTAAACAAAGCACTTATTTAAACTATTTCTAAATTATGGTATAAGTTTTGGTTTACATAGAAGTAAAACAACAGTACAGAAATTTCATGTGCTAAATTTCCTCAGTGTTAACAATTATATTACTAAGGTGCCTACTTCAAATTCAGAAACTAGCATTGGAATACTCCTGTGGTCTATGTGCTTTATCCAAATTTTCACCTTTGCAGTAATACATTTTTTTTCTAACTGTGTAATTATTTACGCATAGCTTTATGGTTCCTGGCACTTCTTACTCTCATCTCTAGATTTAAGTTTCCAGATCACAACAAAGCAGAATGTAATGTGTGTGGAGATGTCATGAGGAAATTTATTACTTTGTGTGCTAGACTACTTTAAAAAGGATTCTGCCCATGAGTGGTAGCACACATCTATAATCCCAGCACTAGGGAGGCAGAGGCAGACTGCTATCTGTGAGTTCCTAGCCAGTCAGGTTACATTGTGAGACCCTGCCCTTAACAAACAAACAAACAAACAAACAAACAAACAAACAAATAAACAAATAAATAAGTTTAAAGAGAGAAACATTACTTAATACTGGTTTGCTGGTAATTAATTTTAGCCAGCCTTCCTTGGGAACTGGAGGTCGATGACCCAAGGTCCTTCAATATGTAGCCCAGGCTGGCCTCAACTCATGATCTTTTTGCCTTAGCCTCCTGAGTGCTGGGATTATAACTACGTCTTCATTTATGAGTGAAGAAATTCAAGCTGACATTTTTGTTTTCCTTCAGTATGTTAAGATAGCACTAAGTTATTCTGACTGGTGCAGGTTTAGATAGAAGTCTGCTGTTCATGTCCTCTGTATGACGTCTTATTTTCTGACTTTGTATTGAATTGTGATGCACCTGTGTGCCTCTTCTGCATGAGTGCTGGCCTAGAGGATCAGTGGGTTTACGGTTTCCTTTACATTTGTCCCCCCAAGACAGAGTTTCTCTGTGTTACAGCCCTGGCTGCCCTGGAACTCACTTTGCAGACCAGGCTGTGTCAGCCTTCCGAGAGCTGGGATTAAAGGTGTGTGCCACCACTGCCCGGCTACATTTGGAAAACCTTTAACCGTGACTGTAATTCTTTTTCTGCTTCCACTCTCTCTTCTTCTGGACTCTTAACTGCACAGTTGTTTAGCCACTTTCTATTACTCTACAATGACTTTTAGTGCTCTGTTCTGTTCAGTTAGTCTACTTGTTGTCACTCTACATACTTCATTTTCAGAAATTTTTACTTGTGTATTCATGCTCACTGATCTTTCTTAGACACCTAACTGACCAAGTACATTGTTTTACCACAATATATTTTCCCATATCTGGACATGTCACAGAAGTACTTAAAATTTTATTTCTCTTTTCATCGCGGTCATGCTTTTCTCCATCTTCTTTGACTATGTGAAACATGAAACATAAAACAGAAGATACTTTAATGTCCTTAACATGTCATTTATGGTTTTGTTTCTAGTGGTACATTTTCTCCACACTAGAGGCTGTATTTTTCTCTTTGCAGTCTGCTAATTTTTGATTGGATCCAGGACATTGTGACTATTACATCAATGGTTATTTGCATCTGTCACAGTAATTTCAGTAGTGCTGTGTTTTCTTAGGTTCAGATAGGTGATTTGGAAGCAGCTGATCAGAGGCTTGTCTTCTTTTTCTTTCTTTCTTTTTTTTTTTTTTTTTTTTTCTGAGACAAGGTTTCTCTGTGTAGCTTTTGGAGCCTGTCCTGGAACTCATTTTGTAGCCCAGGCTGGCCACGAACTCACAGAGATTCACCTGCCTCTGCCTCCTGAGTGTTGGGATTAAAGGCGCGCACCACCACTGCTTGTTTTCAAATGCAATGAGAACTGCTCCAGAGCATCCTGTGGTCTAGGGCTAATCTATTTCCAGAAAACAAATGAAACTTCTCTGTGTCCAATGCCCCGTGGATTATGAGCTGCCCTCCACCCCATGGCTATGAGAGCACAAACCAGTCCCAGGCATCTTATAAGGTTAAGGAATTGTCCACCTACTCTTCCCTGACCTCAGGAGGTCCCACTCATGTCTCTGCCAACCACTGTTCATTTAATGGTTCAAGGTGGTTCCTTTGCAGATATCTGGCA